ATTATTTAATTATTTAATTATTTAATTATTTAGTATTTCACTTGCAAAATGGCAATATAATGATGGTTTAATAAGTCAAATTTTTTTTAGATGGATATTGGATGCTTTTGATGCGCCAGAGTTTTCACAAACTTCAATGTGGCTACTACTTATACAACAATTCATGGATGAATACCAAAAATCTCGAACTCTTATGAGATTATTGATAGAGCTTTTACTAAAAAAATTAAATTATGTAAAATATTTTTTTCATGTTTGTGAAACTAACAATTTTAGCTTAATTTAATTTAATTAATATATATGTGTATGTGTTTATATATATATATATAAATCTATATATTAAATATTTCAGATACATCAACATTCAAATCTTGTTACAAAATTTGAAGGTGTAATACATTCTTTAAAATCAATGCTACAGGTAAGATATATTCTATTTTTTTTTTTAAAAAAAAAAGATCTTTTGTTATTTATTATATTAATCCATTTTTTTATTCTACAGCAAATTTTCCTTTCAATACCTGATATGTTTGTATTCCCATCTTGCTGGAATACATACAAAGATCTTCTGATCAATATTCTTTTAGAGGATGCTAAATCAGGCACATGTAATCCTGTTTTTGCTAAAAAATTAAGATGTCAAATAGAAAAATTCATTGAAGTAGTGCGTGCTAGAAATGAGGTTTTGAATGAGAAAAAAGGTAATACATTTGAAAGAAAAAACCTAAAAGAAATAAAATTGTCTCGGATAATAAATGTAAGTGCTACTACTACTATTATTATTATTGGGAGGAACAGGGTAAGAAAAGGATAAAACAACTTTATTTTAACATTAATAGTTAATTAAAATTATTAGATTCTTGATAAAATTGGACCTAAAACCGATTATGATGTTGTTACATCAGAATATTTTTGTATTAAAAATAAATTTCCTTTATTGGAAGAAGAAATCACTACATCCATTTGTTCATTATGCTTTTGGGCAGTAACTAATCTTCGGTCAGGAGATTATAGAATATATTCTGTTTGTCAAATACTTGATATTTGGAAGAAAATTGCTTACAATGACAATGAAAAGATCGAAAAACAAACTTGTATTCAAAATTCATTAATGAAGTTTTTGAATGAATATCAGATTGGAAAAAATGGATTAGATGAACTTGATGGTATC